TTTCTGTGCATACTCAATAATCATAATATTTCGTTGTATGGTATTTTCAATTTCCGTAAGAATTCATAAATGGAAGGTGAAATGGGAGAGTTACACGTTAAATTGAATTCCTTACAGTGTGAAGCAAAGAGATCTATGTAATATGTAATAATTGGCCTTAAACGACTTAATTTTTCAATCATTTCAACTCCTCCATTCTCAATTTAATTAAAAACAAAAGTAATATTACATCATTCTTAAAAATTAAGGTCTCAATTTCGTAAACAATCTAAAAGTTAGAAATTGATTTTAGATTTCACACTTACTTTCTTTGGGAGAAGTTAAAAAAGAATGGAGAGGAAAGGAAAATACAAATTTATTTGTAGTCAAAAATTAGAGAGTATGCAAATTTAAACAAATTATCTGTTACAAATAGATAGTTTGTTTAAATTTGACAAGTGAAACAATTAAAAATAAATTAACTTTTTATTGATTGATACGTTTTTTTCTAGAAGTACTGTTTTTTCTTCTCTTTTTTGAATATTGCTGAGAATGAACGGAAATAAGCAATTTATTTATTCTCCCATTTATTAAATGGAATGGACGAATTTATTTCAAAGTTCATATAGTCTGTTATGATTTTATTTTAAAGTTTACGTTTAAAGTTTTAATTATTTACGCAGCAAGCAATTAAAATTGAAATTAATAATCATGAAATAATCAGGACTAGAAAATAAGCATAAAATGGCAGAGAATGAGAAATTATGTCATGAGAGAAGTTTGTTGTAATAAAATACCAAAGAACATTTTGATAGATGATGAGACCTCCCTGTTTCTCTCTCTCTCTCTCTCTCTCTCTTCTCCATCTCTCTTCTCTATCTCTCCCTTTGAAGTACCATAAATACTATACATGTTGTAATCGGCTGATTCACAAACATATATTTGAAATCAGGAATTTGAAAGTGGAGATAATGTATCAAACAAGCATAGAAAGCTAGATTTTCATCTTAGGATTTTAAAAATTCTTGCAATTCTTGTATGCAAAACGCTAAGACATTTCTTCGAAGTTCAATCTAACGGATTAAAATTAAACTTTTCAATATTATAGCACAATATTTGATGATTGGAAGTAAGAGTGGAAATTTTTGAAAAGTTAATAATAGCAATAAAAATATTTCGTCCGCATTAGCATCAGATTGAATTGGATCCCCATAGGAATTTTAGTGCTGAATGTATGAAAATGAGATTGAAATATAAGCATTTTCGAGTAAATTAGAAGACTTTTATATTAAACATTATCACAACGTAAATTAGCAAAATAATTTTAAAAATTTTTGAAAATTGCAAGCTAGCTTACATGCGCATATAAATAAACAAGCAAAATAAAATAAAGAAATTTTAGAGTGATATAAATTGATGATCATATACAGTGCTTAATTTATTTTAACACTTTTTTAACTTCTTACTTTCACAAAGTATTCTCTGTAAGTGAAATGAAAGATGGAAGAGAAGAAAAAAAGATAGGCAAAAAAAGCTGAATAAATGCAATATTTTCATCTAACAATTCATTTTCCTGTAATTATATTGCACTATCAATTATTACAAAAATTTTTAGCATCGAATTGTAAAATAGCATGAAAAAAAATAAAAAGCATGAAAGAATGAATCACACATTTAATTTTTTCCTTTTCTTAGAGCAACTCTCAAGGGTACTCTTAAATTTGTCTGCATAAGAGAAAATACTTCAAATTATATAGTTAAAAGATTTCAGTTATATCGAATATTATTTCCTATGCATAAGTTATCAAAGCTAACACATATTATTGATAAGTGATTACATGGAATTTAAGTATTCTCGATTACGATTGAAATGTTGTGCGGTAACTTCGAGTTTAATATCGTGAGTTTGAATTCAAGTATTCAGGATTACGATTTAAATGTGTATCATGGCTCAAAAATGATAAGCAACATTTTATTTAACATCAGCTAAATCCTCAAAATGATAGTGATAAACTGTCAAAGAGATAAAAAGTGAAAATGGATGTGAAAAAGATAAATTGAAAAATTCTTTTCATATTTTATGCTTAAAATTTACTAAAAACAAATGTAAAAGTTCACTAATCAATCAATTAATAAACTTTTATATTTATTTTTATTTCACTGTAGAGCAAATGAGAGAAATCATTTACCACCGGTAAAACAATTAATGATAAAAGTGTTGTCAAAAGTAAGATTAATAACAAAAGCAGGAATGGTTATCTTTCAGAAAAATATTGCAATGGATCAGAAGAAATACCGAAAATATAATTCGGCTTTCTTTTAATTTTGTTTTTTTGAAAAAATAAAGGTGATAATTTCCTGATCAAATTTTGAATCAAATCATGCTGGAAATTTCTGGGCAATATGAAATTTATTCAATTAAAAAGCAATAAAAATAGGGGGCTATTATTCAAATAACCGAAACTTTTTTTTATCCTTTTTTTTGTCTTTTAAGCTAAAATTATACCATACTTATATATTATACAAAATCAAAATTTTCATCATTTACTTGTGGTAAAAAAGGTAAATGACAAATATGAACAGAATTATATTCTATTCTTAATATATATTTGTGGAATGTAAAAATTTATATCATCAAAACGGATCGAATTTTGCATATTTCTTGAGAACAGAAAGGAACAAAAAACCAAAAATTGTTGATTGATAAAGAACAAAATTACATTTCTGAAATTTAAAAATTTATATCATCAAAATAGATTGAAATCATTGCATTCTTTTAAAATTTTCATGTTTCTTAAGAGTAGAAAGGGAAAAAAACAAGAAAAATTATTGGTTGATAAAAATTTATATCATCAAGCATAACAATGTAGGAGCACAATGGTTGAAATCATTTTGGTTTCTTATGGAATTTTTTATTTATCAGTTTTTTTTTTTAAATTCTTGAAAACAAAAAAAGAGCAAAAAAAAAATGAGAAAAAATTGTTAGTTGATAAAAGTTAGCCTAATTCTATTTTCTCATGTTAAAAGGAACGGTTGTCATAAATAATGATTGATTGAGGATGAATTGACGAGAGGCAAAAATTGCCCCATTGATCACCATAACTGGAAAATTTTTTGAAAAAAAAAAAAAAACGATTTTTCTTTTTCAATGGAAGTGCGAAAATGTCAATGCCATGAAAACAATTTCTTTCTACAACCAATAATTTGTGTTAATTGTTTTTACGATTAATGTCATGCGATGATTATTGCATTATTAAGTAAAAAAAAAAGAGGAATATAATTAATTTGATTACAGAATTAATATGATTAATATCAAATGGTATGATGCAGTAGCTTTAGAAATATGAAAATGAGAATAATTCTCAACAAATAATTGGAATTCCTAATACAAATAGATGATATTTTGAATGTCTCGGTTAGTTTCCTTTCAATCACCATTTTCACATTTAGTAAAATAGTTAATTAAAACTACGAATAAAATAGAAAACAATAGGGAGAAAGGAAAAATTTTGAATTGTATCTTCAAAAAAAATAATTGAAAAACTTCGAGAGAGAAAAAGAAAAGAGAGAGGAAGAGGATGAAAGGTAGCATAAGAGAGAGACATTAGAAGTAGAGGAACTAATATTTGCAAAGGTAATTTGGCTAATCGCTAATAGTAGTTACTTTGAAGTTTGCGCTCGCACGAAACAGATTGCTAATTTTTAGAGAAGACAAATTACCGGTTTCCGTTTCATTCAATGAGCAAAATTCTTGCATGTGCAGATAAATCATAAATGAAGTAACGGAAAATTGATATGATAATTACCGTTATCATTCTTTCTGAATGCATGAATCGATCATTACAGCTATCATTTGTTTTGAATATGAGAGAAAAATGCAACTTTTAGAAGAATGGAACGGGAGCGATTTTGATTTAAATAGTAGCACGAAATGATTCACAAATTTTAGCAAGTAGAAGAAGAGGAAAAAAAAATTCGACATATATATATTATAAAACTTTAATTAAATTGCTAATCAAAAAAAAGGAAATATAAACGTGACAAATCCCTTTTTACTTATCTTTATTTCAAACATAGAGAACTATATATGTATATAATTTTAATTAGCTTCTCTCACTTCCTCTTCCTTAACTTTCACATTTAACATCTATCATATATATTTATTTGTTTAATTGATTAAAAAAAAAACAGTTAGAAGAATAAATTGTAGATAATAACTGAAATTTGAAAATGTAGTAGCTTAAGAAATTTAAGCTTAAAATTTTACTTCTTTAGGAAGAACTAAATCAATAATACGACTAAACACTTCTTTTTTTTCATCTCCTAGATAATACTATCCAAATTTATTCACTAATTTTTATCCATGATATCATGATATATATTATAAGATCAATAATTTATCCATGATCTGATGATATATATTATAGAATCCCATAGAAAATCACATAGATATTCAATGTTATAACCCTTAAATTACAATTTTTAAATTATTAATTTCATTAAATTAAACATCGTTCAATAGATCCCATAGCGAAAATTTGACTACTGTATCTATATGTTAGACATTTAATTTTCCCATGCTTTATTTCAGATAACTTCCCATAACTCTCACACTTCCCATTCCTATACAATCTGTTAGTTATAATCCCCAAATATGCTCATAAATTTTAACATGTATTTTAATTTAATGATTATTATTACTATTTTATTTAACTCCCAAAAATAATTCAATTTTATTTCATATTGTTTATTATTTATAAATTACAAAAATGCATGATATAAGTTAGAGAGTTTTTGATGAAGAGAAGATTTCATTCATGCATACATTAGCTAAATAATGCAATAAGAAATTATCTACTGGAAAGAATAATTTAAGCAAAAATAATAGATTCATTTAACTCCAATTTTTCCATACAATGATAAGAAGTAGTTAGCTTTTATCACATATTATTAACAAAATTTCAGCCTATAATATTTAATTTGGTTTTCAGTGGGCAAAGATTGCCATTTATTTGGCATTGATGACAACAACAAATGGCGATCATCAGCAGCAACGACAGGTTACTGATGGTGAATTATTCGTGCGGAAAATAATGGAGGATGATAAGTCACATTTTGTCCAAGTTGAGCGATCCACTTCACAGGTGTTTGTTGTCATTATCACTTTTTTTTCCACTTTTATATCTCAATAGCGTCATTTATATTGATCGTCATATATGACATTACAGAGAAGCAGTAAGCCTTTTATCTGTTTAACTAACGGAAGAGTAACTATTTCAAAATTTATATTGATAAGATTGTTTCACATCTCTTTAACACATGTTTTTCTTTTCAGGAGCAAGGAAACGATGAACTACAATTTGGAAAAGAAGGTGGTGTATATGATATAGATCAGGAACTTGCTTCATTCTGGCATCGTATTCGTGCAAGAATCGAAGCAATTGACCCAGTCAGTTCATTTTTTAAATTATCTTTTGATATTTTTGTTTAAAATTTTTCATGATTTGCTTCAACAAGTTTAAGGAAAACTGCTGATTTCAAGGTACTGCTGAAATTTTAACTTCCTCGGAAAATTTATAATGAAAAATTTGCTATGTGAATCAAAAGAAGATGAAATATGCGCATTAAATTATCAAATTTTGAAAAACTCCGTGACTCCCAAAATTTAATACATTATCAACTGCAATATTTTTGCAGAAAACATTACGTGAAGCAAGCCGACATCAAGAATTGCAATTACCCTTGGCAAGAATAAAGAAAATCATGAAGTTGGATGATGATGTCAAACGAATGGCAAGTTTGCTTCCTTCTTTTTGCTTCTGACCTTCTTTGATAGTGAATTAAAACTTATGGTTCAATTGTTTTCAGCTTTCGTAAATACTTCTTATGGGTCTATCTTATTTTCAAATATTACTTATTAATGAATAAAAAAAAACAATAAGGTAAAGTCTCCGTTATGATTTGGCACTATTTTATCAGTTTTACCGCACTATCCGTATAATCATGAGATTCACATGGTAGAGTTCACGTCCGAGAGTAATATGACAATCAATAACTATAGATTGGCTCAATTCTATCATATTTTTTCAGATGATTGGTTCAGAAACGCCTATTTTACTTGCAAAAGCATCCGAAATCTTTGTCGAAGAATTGACATTAAATGCTTGGAAACATACAGAAGATAATAAGCGGAAAACACTGCAGAAGTCGGATATTTCTCAAGCTGTGGTCAGGTAAAACCTTTATCTCATTTCTTTAGTGTAATTTTTCTTCCCTTAGTAACTTTTTTGCTTGTTTAGATTATTGCATAGTGTGGAATTCACATATTTTAAGAGTATATAATTCGAAAATTTAATTTGCTATTTTTCAAATTCATTGATATAATATTTTTCCTTTTCTTGCAGGAACGATATGTTCGATTTCTTAATTGATATCGTTCCACGAGAAGATCCAAGGTGGCCATCACAGACCAACAATCATGTAAGTTACTTTTTTTTTTGTTCGCAGTTAGCTTACCATTAATTTTCCAAATGTATCGTGTAGCCTATCATTTGTGATTTTTCAGTAATGTTAGCGAAATCATCATTTATGAATTAGTTTTTCAAATTGATTTTGAGATAGATGCAATTTCTAATTCTTCCAATACTGATTTTTCTTTGTTCACAGTGGAAGTCTCGTTCAATTCGAAACTCTTAGGAATTCTTTAAAGATCAAAATTTCATTTGCTATCAGTGACTGATTATATAAATCGCTGTTATATTTCTTTTGTAAACTACGATGGCTATTTGTTGTTTGCCAATGACATAGTCAATATAAACAAATTGACGGAAATATTAAAGTTGCAACCCATACTTGTAGTTACTAAAAAGAAACTTTATAATAATTCTTGCTTTTTTTAATGTCTCTACTTCACGACAACATGTAAGTCCACTGCGAATAAAGTTTGCGAACATTTGGATATCTTCGAGATTTACAAATTAGTTGTCAATTTTTTGATGTACGAACATTGAGGGTAAATCATACCTTTTTTTCTCACGATAATGCTTTTATGTTGTAGCAAGAGCAATCTGAAGAACTACAAGCAGTTATTGCAGATGCTAGCAGTATTAATGGGAGCGTTCAATATGTTTTACAGGTATTTGGGAAGTATTTTCCTTTCCTTATCATATTTTATTTGTTCTTGCAACAACGATTCTATGTAATACTTTATGTTTTAAGATCTATGAAAATTTTTGGGAACCTGAATTGGTCTAAATTCTTAACGTAAATGTTTACTGTACGGCCATTATTTCATTGAAATAATTGATAATTCCTATTTAGGTTGGATCCTCAGATGGAGCACTGACAACGGGCTCAGTTGTACAGGCTACTCAAATTGGACAGCCAATACAGCTACCCATAGGTACGGGTAATCAACCTATCCAACTGATTGCACTGAATTTACCGGAAGGTAACATACAGCAGTTCCAAGTCCAACTTCCTCCATCGTCATAGCCATTGTTTTTGGAAACACAAACATATTGCTAACATCTGTTTCACAAACTTTTGTATCAGGTTCAATATGTTGAATCTAACTCCATTATTTCCTCGTTTCCCAACCAGAACACTTTACAATTTTAAATTGAGACAACGTAAAAATCAACTGATTTTGCATTTAATGAAGGAAACATATAGATAGGCGCGAGGAATTGGAGAAGAGAG